ATATATGGAAAAAGCTAGGATTGGCCCACGAGCTCATATGAACATATAAGCCCAACGCTCTGATTGGATCTAGGCCAATCTGACGATTACGGATATCTAGTAATTCTTTAATTTTATTTTATTTTTTTACAAATCCAAATCACTTGAAATTTTAGGTGTATGTTATTCTCATCAAAGTGCACCTAATAAAAATATAAAAAAAAAGTATTCGTGAAAATAAAAATGATGAAAATAACCCCAAAAGTTTTTCAAAGGTATTTTGTTCAATTTATTTCATGTAAAATACTTTTTTGATATTTTTCGAAGATTCACCTAGTTTTTATGAACACACGTCTAAAATTTTAAGCGATTTAAATATGTAGGAAAAAAATAAAATTCAAATACTACCGGACATCCGTGATCATCAACTCGGCCTAGATTCAATCTAGACCGTTGGGCTCATATATCCATATAGAGAGAGAGAGAGAAAGAGATAGAGAGAGAGAAATGTTAGCGTGAGCCCATTAGCCCATAGCTACATATAAGCCCAATGGCCCAGATTCAATCTTGGCCAATCCAATTATCACGATTACATTTATATTTAAATTATAATTTTTTTATATAAATCCAATTCACTTGATCACGTTTACAAAAATTTGTAACCCTATAGAATCCATTTTATTATGTTTAGGAGCTAAAAACTAGTGTTTCATAGATCAATGAGCTATCTCCGAATCGCTCAAGTTAGACCCCTAGTTCCTCGATTCTGCATGGTAATGAATCAATGAATGATGCCATATTGCCTAAAACTGTGGGGCTCACTATAATGAACAAAGGAAACCACCCGGTTCACTATTGGAGCTCGAGTGATTCCTGGGTCCAAGAGGGAACCTAAATTCTAATTTTTTTTATTTTATTTTTTCTTTCGTGAGTGATTTGGGGAAGGCTGACATCGATGAACCCACACAGGAATCTGCGATCCAACTTGCTTGGTTGGTTGCCTGAATTGGCACCCACCCGATCCAATCTTCTTATCCACCAGCAAAAACTACCATATTAAGTCTTTTAGAGCAAAAACTAGTTAAATGGTATTATGCAGAATATGCTAATTTTGGATGAGATAGTCGATAAAATTAACTGTAGTCCAAACAAGTCCTTAAATTATGGATTTCAAATTTACACCCTCTATAGTTCCATGTTTGGGCTGCTTCTTTTACAAAAAGTATTTTGGCTTTTCAGAATTATTTAGCCATGTTAATATGCAAGTAATCAATGGTTCTCTCTCTCTTTCCACGCCCTTTCTCTTCCAATAATGCTTACCTTGCGAAACTCCTCTCTCTAACTAAACAATCTCTCTAATTTGTTTATCTCGAAATTATTATTCTCTCTCTAACCGTACCCTTTCTCTCTCCATCCATGTCTCTTAATCTTCTTTAAACACGTATTTTCTCTCTCTAACTCCTTTCTCTCTCTAACCATATCATTTCTCTATTTTTCATACCAGTCATAGATCTTTAGTTGTGCACTCTCTCTCTCCAATGGAATCTCTAATCCCTCGCTTGCTAACCACGCCCTTCGTCACTCTAGCTTCTCTCTCTCTCTCTCTCTCTTTTCGCTGTCATCTCTCTTTAAATCCTCACTCTAACCGTGCCCTCTCCCTCTCTCTGAAACCATGAAGACTGCTCTCTATGAAGCTTTGTTAGATCACAGTAAACCCTAACCTCTGTATTCAAGAACTTGGTAACACATTAACAAACAAGTACTTGAAAACTAGAACTTCCAAATTCCAGTTACCAAGCATGCTCTTCAGTTCCTAAAGCCAGTTGGATTGTAAGCGTGCTTACAATGTAAGTTTTAAACTATCGTATACTTTCCCTTACGAGTTCAAGGAATCGTCAAGCTTTCTTTGATATTTCATGAATGATGATTAACTAGGTAATTTCAGGACTATTAAATGTAGAAATCGGTGATGAATTCTTGGTGGACAAGTGCATCCTCACCTTTAAAATTTATACAGCGATCAAAATAACATAAACACTTATTTTCATATTTTTGGTTAAATAATATAAATCGTTTTGGAATATGGTGGGAAGTCTTCTTCTTTAGAAGACATGGACACAAATGTCTATATATCAGACATACAAAAAAATGTCACAAATTAGAGCTGTATACCTGCCATTGTACTTTGCAAGACTTCCGTGCTTTTAGCATCTCAAGATGGGAGCAAGAATTATGTAAATGTTCCAAAAGAAAAAAAGATGGACCAAGAATTCATTTTGACAAACCTTGAGACCTTGAATCAAGAACACTTGTTGGAGCTTCTTCACAGTTTAAACTTCTTATTGTGCTCCAATCTTCTTGGCTTTTATATCTTCACAAAGAACGTCAAAGATTCTTTTCTCTGTTTGGCGCCTGTCTTTGTGTACCCTCCCCGGGGTCCAAGATGTGTAAGATTATGAGCAAGTTTTCGCCGCCCAAGCACCTGGGATGTTCTTCTGTTGGTATAGAGGGAAATTTTCCTCCAGCTATGACCAAGCAGCCACTGATTTTGTGGCATTTTCTACACAAGTGGGGTTCGAAAACGTGATGGATACAGATGGCTTGCTGTGGTATTCGGACAAGCAGAGGAAGATAACTGTCCAGCCAAATTGGCCCTACAGTTGTGAATGAGAAGCTAATTATCACTGAAAAAAGTGGCACCTCGTTGCAAGAAATTGATACGCTTTAAAATGGTAATAGGTATTGTGATAACTGAAGAGGGCTGCCACTGTGTGTGTAAATTTTGGGTGCTCATCCAGGTTGCAGAGAGAGAGATCATACACCCATTTATGTATGCTGAGATTTCCATTCTTGCAATGTATGTGCCGCTACTATGACCGTTTAGGACTAGAGTTTCAAAGAGAATCATGGTTTAGGAAAAGGGAATCCAGTGTGGGCTTCTAGAAGAAGAGCTGGGTCATTAATTGATATGCGATAACTGTCTTGTTAGATATAAGTAGCTAATTTTTTAGGTCCATAATGAGATTCTATTGAGCACTGCTCATTCTAGAAATCAAGTCTAGAATCCCTGTGTAAAGAAATAAGGTACAAAAGTTGAAAAAAAGAAACAAGGTAACAAAAAAACTGTGGAGTTTTTGAGCAAAAGATGTGCAAAACATTTGCAGATAAAAACATTATTAGGAATGATGTACACACATGGGAAGTAGGGAGGATAATCTCTCTCTCTCTCTCTCTCTCTCTCATATTTTTGTTGTCTTCTATTTTGTTTCTTATATTTGTTATGGAACCAGGACAGTAATCCAATCCACAGTAATATGGGAAGTTTTATTAGTATACTAGAGGATGTAGCATGTCATTGAACCTTGCTGAAGGTAAGAATAAGAGAGGGGAATGACAATCTCAGACATAGTTAAGAAAAATAGAGAGAGAGAGAGAGAGAGAGAGAGAGAGAGAGAGAGAGAATTCCAGTAAATATAGATAACTCCCAAAATCTCAGATGCAAAACACGCACCGATTGCAAGGTAGCAGACATGGTCAGCTGCAACGGAAGACTGTGGTGCTTAAATTGATCTGCAAAGGCAGAACAACCAAGTAGGGATGAACCCAAATGATCGGGAGTTTCCATATGAAAGTCGGAGCTACATTCTTTCAGATAATACATATAGTTGAAAATGATTATGATGCATCAAATTTAGTAAATATAGATGCATCTAATACTTTGTTAATAAGAATTTCAAATATAAAAAAGAGATGAGGAATTGAACTTATGGGATACTATATGCTGACCAAGGGTTGTTTCATAAGCCATGAGATGATTGACGATAAAAGCTACAAAAAGAAACTCGGAAGCAAATTACAATCATTTATTTCAGTCTTGTAATAAGCTGAACATAAGCAAAGCAATATCTATGAGGAATTAAAGAAAACTATATCAAAGAAGAAGAACCATCAAAGTACCTTCTGTGCTACTTTTAATATGTATCCCCAGATCCAATCAAACTGGGCCGAGAGCAATCTTGAGGCTCTGCAAGAGCCTTGACAACCCACGGAAAAGCCCCAATGGGTGAACCTACAAAATTGGCAACTCAATATATGCCAAAAACAAATATCAAGGACTAGAGAACTCGAAAGGTACACATATAACAAGAATCCCTCATTTCCAGTTTTGAGAACCTCTCCCATGAGAAAGCCCTAAACGGTATTACAGTTCAACTTTTCATTGTGCAGAAGCATTAAGCAAAATTCCCCAACTAGTAGATTTATAACTCATAAAAACTGGTTCAGTTTAGAGAATATAGTAGAAAGAAACCAGATTATGAATAGGAACAAATGCAAAGTTTACAATAGAAAGACAGAACTTCACAGATTCTTCTAAAGCATATGCCTTGGTATTTCATTGATGAGAACTCTGCAATTATCAAAGCAGATTTGTATCTTGAGATTATAACCAACACAGAAACTCCAGATACTTCAAGACTTGATGAGTCATACCTTCGAAAGCAAGCTATAAAAACATATAATTCAAAGAAAGGTATACCCATCTACCAAGGGAATACCTAGTAAGCTACAAGAACAGAAGTATAACCCCGCTATGTACAATGTATCTAACTGCCATAATGGGAAAACAAGAATGAAAACCTATGAAGGTTAAGCACAGCTAGGGAAATAGAAAGAATAGCTATACAACTTGAGGAGTGCAAAGGTGCCTAAGCTCGAACAAGTGCTCTTCATTTGTGATGTGAAGAGAGAGCCGGAGGTTTGTCAAAAGGGCTTCTTGCTCCCAACTCAAGGGACCAGAAGCATGTAGAGCCTGCACAGTATGATGATATGCATTTAGCTCTAACATATGAACATTTGTAGCTAATTCTTCTGAAGAAGAGGAATTTCCACGAAATTCAGATTCAGAGTAAGCTTTTCCGCCATCAAAAGAAATACCCATATCACATTCCTTAGAGGGTTGTCTAGAATTGAGAGCATAACAATCGCCAAGGAAGTTATCCCTGGGTCCTCCACTACAACTAGCAATAGAACAGTTGCTATCTCCTCCCTCAGAAAACTCGTTAAATATAGGACATGCATCAGTTTTTTCCACTTCAAAACCACCACTTTTTCTCTCTACAGTGAAAGAGAACATTGGTTTCCCACCCCTTCTTTTTTGGGGAAAAGAAACAGGGTGCATCTTTTCAGGCAATGTAAAGGATTTTCCCATGGCAATCCCTTTATACCCATTTCCTTTCGCAACTGACCTCCGCTTATGGATGCCCCTTATCGACACGTTATCAAAGGATGACTCGTTTTTCTTCATTTTTTGCACTCCAATATCTGATTTCTGAGAATGTCTTGAACTGGACAGCATATCATCAAGGTTTATATTTCCAGCTCCCTGCATAGATACAAAGATAAAACCAGTAAGATCTTGATTTCCACTGAAATATCCATAGTGATCAACTTTATTCCTTCATGACACAGATGCAACTATACCGATAGTACCTGTTAAAACTCAACTGCCAAACTACACACAATCCATAACATTCAGATATTAGAGCATAGAAAGCCAATTTGAATACAACAATAACAACTACTCATCAGTACATACAACTTCTGACCTTCATAGTTTAAGAACAAGAGAAATAAGAAGCAATCTCTTGATTAGGAATTAAATAATATGTAAAAATATCCATTTATATAATTAGGTCACGTGAGTACCTTCCCTTGAGCTAATGGGTACAATTGAGTGCCTAGAAATAGCAAAGTTGACCAAGATCATCATGACGGACAAAGTTTCCAAGTTAGATTAAGAGATAACCTTTTGATGATCATTCAATCTGAGAAAATATCAGAACATCAAAGAAGTATTATCGTGCCAGATGAATTTGGTGAGGTAGTGCTAAACATTTCGAAACAAGCTTTGGGAGCCTACAGTACGAGATGGCCAAAGAGAGCTTTGATTTTCCTCGTGCTTGGCAGATGTAATATTTTGTGGAGATGTCCAATTGAGAGAGAGACTTCAAACTCTGAGGAGAAAGCTGAATAGTGCAGAAAATGGACAATAGGGCACTTCAAATTTTCAACCTTAGATGGCAAGATCCTCAAATGCACATCATATCATTATGTCCTCCCTACTTAGTGGTTCTATGTCTTGCTAGGTCAAAGCTGTGAACTTTTGGAGGGTTAGCTTCAACGTAAAGTCTTCAATGTGCACCATTGATCCCTCATCCAATGCTTCTTTAATGAATATTTGTGACCGCTCCTACCCATGAACGAAAAGGTAGAAATAGACATGGTTAAGCAATTCACCTATAAACTCGCAAGAATAATTCAAGTAGGCTTGATTGGTTATAATATGGAACAGCCTGCCAAATCAGTGCTCCAAAACACGCTGAACAGACTTGGGGATCGCCCAAGTCGCTTCAGCTCGGACCTTGATGAGTCCTGAGTAAGAAACTAACGACTCACCTGAGTCTGACCCTATTTCCATTGTTACTCTTTTACAGATTCAGTCACGTTGAACTGGGTGACTCGGGCTCTGGACCCTAGAGTGTCCCGACCCAAGTCTTTGTTCTATAACACTGCTATTATTTTGTTTTAACGGGACGGGGAGCTTTTCGGTATTTCCTAAATGAGCAGGGGATACAACTGACCGTACCCATAAAATAACTAAATGATCAACATTTCCCTTTTACTCATGAACGGTTGGTGACCATATGGAATTATCCCTTGATAAATGCTGTGTCATAGTTATCCTATTTGGAAATTGAGTCACAAAGAATTATGAAATGCAACTGCAAGTTTCAATGTTAATTCCTGTTGAAAAATAACTTATTGTGAAACTCATTATTGATGAATCCAACCTCACCATATTATGGGTGATAATCTATTTATCTACAACGTTAAATATAAGCATGTGACATAAAGTAGTTTCTACCAAAATTTGTGCAATTTATAGCTTTAAAACCACGGTGGTAATTTCACCAACTATATTTTGATGATGTATGTTAACCAAAGTCACAACATTAGATGATGGAAAGTCACATGCCATTGTCAGAATACTACCAAGTACGAACTTTAATTTAAGATAATATATTGAACTAAACAATGATAAACTCAAACTGATCATTTAAAATGGATTCAGACTTTGGTTTGATTGGTTAAGGGCTTGATGATTGAGCAGTGTCCCGAGTTCAAATCCTGCTACTCAACTACCCAAGAAAAAAGTTTTACTTGAAGTAGTAATGCATTGGCAAAAGATCAGTAAAAACATTATAAGAGCCTACACACGAAAAAAGTTAAAAAAAGAGTACTTAATAAAAAACTATCAGCCCATGAACAAGTGGGGACACGTGGATCCTTATTCAGGACATATGCAGACAACTTTTTTGGGGGTTGGTTTGCCTCCATTCTGGATATCCCCCTTTCTTTTACTTAACCCATGATTGTGAATTAGGTTTAACATAGTAGGATCAGACCAGGCATTAAGAACAGCCATCACATCATGTACCGACTGCCTTTTATTCAGGTACCCTAACAGACCCTTAGAGTCCATGTGTAACAAATCTATTACAATTAAGCACATAAATTCAAGAAAGCCAAAACAATAGGATCCATATGGTCATTGTAGCACCATGACCATGAGGTTATCACCATACCGTCAATAGATAGCTCGGTGCGGGGAGTGGGTCCCACCATACAATTAACTAATTACACCGTACATTCTATTCTCCCTCCATCACCATCCAATCAATTATTAGTATGGCAAAAAGCACATGGTTATTATTGTTAATGTGACCATATGGAGCATATTATATTTTTCCAGTTAAAGAAAATCTTGCTTACCCCACCATAGCAACATGACAGTATAATTTCTGCCAAATAAAGCAAATCCCAGTAAAAATAATTCAGGAAATGGTATTTGTTAAGGAAGCTTGCCACAACAACGGGCCGAGTCAACAAAATGAAGACGAGGTCAAGTACAGTCTGTTCAAATTTGGTGCCGTCTATCAACCAAACCTCATCGACAATAACTTCCAATGTTTTGGCGGGCTTTATTGCTAATCCGATTTCGCAAAACATACAATTCAATAACAGAAAAGGACAAAAACGATGCTGAAATTGCCAATAAATATGAACGATGCCCGCATTAATTAGACGTTATAACTTTAAATTAATTAATCTTATTGGTTCTTCCTGATCAGTGCAAATGAATGCATCTGAATGTTTAACAAGCGTGAGACTCACCAATTCTAAGGCTTACATTTGCACTGAAAAAACCAAGTTTCTACAGTTATTTAGATACATACACAAAAGAAAAGAAGAACACAAAGCTAAAACCAGCAATTGCTACTACAAGTAACACTGCAAGAAAGGTGATAATCAACAACAATGACTACAACAGCTAGAATATAAAACATGCATAATGAAAAGATAAGGAAATATTCAAAAATAAAATGCATGGTTTAAGACTGTCACCTTTCCAAGTAAGATCCATTCATTGCCTTGCCAAGATTGATGATCCCTTATACTAGACTTGTGGTACGATTTAAATTGAGAGGACCCAAAGAATTCGATGATAAACCAGCCATTATGAAGCACATCAGAAACTTTACCGACTCTCCAACAATGGCCATCAAAAGCTTCAATGGTATCTCCAATAAGCCAATTCCCACCAACTTTTAATGCTGGAATAGGCCTAATGTCATCCTCACTTACTCTCTCCAAGATGGGGTCTCCATTAACAGTTAGTAAGAGTTGGTATCTAACAAGGTAATTGCCAACATCACCTAATACAATTTTAGCAGAATACCACGAACCTAAAGGTCCATCTCCACTTCTTAAGACCTCCACTGTATCCCCTTCCTTAAAAACCATGATTCTCAAGACATCCAATTCCTAAAGGCCCTGTATAATTCAGTTTTCAATCAATATAAGCACACAGATTACAAGATCTCTCTCTCTCTCTCAAAAAAAAAAAAGAAGAAGATATATTTCAATCTAAATCAAACTAAAGACATTAGTCTACAAGAAGCCTTCACCCAAATAATAAATAATAATAATAATAATGAAAATAACAACATCAACAACAAAGAAAAAGACAGACCAATATTCAGAAAACCCTGCCTAATTAGCTTTAACCAACAGAATAGAAATAAAAATAAAATAAAAATATTGAGCCCATAAACTAGCAATGGGAGAAGCTCATAGAAAACTATGAGGAGTTTTAATGAAAATGCATGGAAAATATTAAAGCTATCAACCCTTGTGAGCTCTTCTCCAGAATCAAGAGAAACCCATAAAAAATTTCAAGACAAAAAGCCGAAATATCAAAAAGGAAGAACTAAAAAGAATATTATATTCCCAAAAGAATGTAAAAAGAAAGAACTTTCAAAATGAAGCATGGAGCATTAATAATTCAAAATTAGAGAAAAAAACCAGAAACAAAAATTAAGAGAAAAGGAGGAAATTGACTCACCTGATAAAGATAGAGAGAAAAAGTGATTTTGGGTTAAAAGATTTTGGATTTCAGCTCCCCTAACAATTTTACCCAAAATAACGTTTGATTCAGGCGAAGTTCCCACTGCATATTCCCCGTTCATGGCCTTAATCCCATTTTTAAATTTAATCGGAGAAAATGACATGAACAGCCCAAACTTTTCTTGAAATCCCGAGTACAGATAAACTTCGAACTATATCGTAAATACCTAATGTCAAAGGTTTTATGTTCCCGCGGGAGTCCTCTATCATTGTAAAAACCGTTAGGATTATTTTGGGCCCCTAAATATCGTGGATGTGGCTTTTTTGACGTCGTGGCTGATCTTAAAAAAAGAAAAAAAAAAAGAAGGGAAAGTATATAATGAGACTATTTACTTTTGATATAAGGGTGGTCACAATTGATCTTAACTATAGGATGTAAAATTGGGTGGCTGTATTTACTTTATTAATTAGATTCAAAGTTCAAAAGAAATTTTATCGAACTTTGTGATACACTTTAGTTATCAAATTTTACATTGGATGTTTATTAGTAATTTTGACTTCCCTGTACAAGAGATAAATGGTCTTATTGTATTCAATCCTAAAAAAAAAATACAAGGGATTGTTTACAAATAGATGAATTATCTTTTGTACATGGAGGCCCTATCATTCTCCTTTAAATTTTAAAATGGGTAGTTGTAAGAGTGTCATTAAATAGACACAAAGTTCTTAAAAAATAATTCTCGAACTTTGTGACTCACCCCACGCCATCCATTCGATATCTAATGAGTGAAAATAAATGTGACTTCTATAGAACAAAAGACAAATGATTGCTTTGTAGACAATACCATTGCGTTCAAGATATAGATCGACATATTTTCATTTAAAGGGATTCGATCCATGTCTTACTTGGTACGTAGACCCTTCTATGGTCCATGGAAACTAAGGCATGTTATGGATGAGATTTGTAAACAAGCACTACTTCAGTCCTTGACGGATCTTGATCAGCGCTTTGTTCCTTTTTTTTTCTATATCTTTTATCGTACATTTATCCTTGGCGTGCACACACACATATATATAACACCTATAGGTAAAGTTTCATAGTATTTTACTTACGGCTTATCACCATCTAAAATTCATCACATGGTCACATAAGTCTAATAATATTTAAATTTTAACAATTATTTTACTTGTCAAAATTATCTTGAAGCATGTGTACATATAACCAACTTGCACCGAAACAAAATATTAAAAAATAATAGTAAAAAATTAGAGCTTAATTTTCTCGTATAATTTTAACATATAAGGTTGATTAGGACATCAAGTCGAGTATGCTCCTTCAGGAGCATGCTGTAATTATTGTTGGGCATGGTTGAATTACCTATGGCGTTTTGGTTTCTTATGAGCACGAAAGTTTTAATGCTACTTACCGTCCATTTAGTCCCTTGGGTAAGATCCAATGGAATTGTAAGATCCCAAATTTTGAGGATGAAATATCTTCAACCTATAAACTAACCTCAAAGAAACAAATTCCCAAATTGCAATACATAAAAAAAAAAATGTCCTAAGATTGATAGAGAATGTCCAGCTTTTGGAGGGTGTAATCTAAGTATTAAAAATTTTAAAATATAAAATTTCTATTACAAAAATAATTATTTAATGATTTTCAAGTGATTCTCAACTTTTCATATTGAACAAAATCCTCATGTTGGTCACCTGGGGGATTTGTGTACAATATGTTTGTACATGTACGTAGCAGCATACAGACCAAAATTTGTATCGCCGACCCCCAATCAATTGGAGAATGCTTTAACGATAGAGTCCCTTTTATATAAATAGCTTGTGAAGTTTATCCTTTTGCCCAAAAAAAAAAAAAAAACTTGTGAAATCTATTTACCTTATCTGAGTATATTTAGGTAGTCCTGCTCTGGAATTCAGGAAAATATTATGGTTTCTTGTGGTATTTAGAAATGTTGGGAAGAAGCAATAAAGAGTACCTCTATATTTGGAAATTTGGTTTAAATGTTTTCTGGGCTTTTTGGCATCTCACAGTAAAAGTTGGGGTATGCTGTGTGATTCTGAAAATGTTCAAGAGAGTGACACATGGGTTAGAGACAGAGGAAGAGAGAGAGTGCAAGGTGGAGCCATTCTGTTTATGAACAGGCCCTTTAACCTTACCTTAATTTGGGCAGGTATGGAGAGAGAGACCATTAGGCTTGGGTCCATATAAATTTAGTTTTGATGGGTTTAAGACAAAGAAAACTGCCCTGTTAGGATGTTTATTCTCATAGAATTGCCCTGTTTGATTATAAATTTCTTATATGATTTGAGTTTTTCGAGGATTTTAACCCCACTACAAGAGCGTTATTCCCATAATTTAACCCAACTTATTAGCAATAACACTCTCAATGTTGCAACGAAAGCATCATTTGGTGTAATTGGAAAAAACTTCAATGTTTTTGAGCGAAATAATAATTATTGTTATCAAGATTAATCAGAATCAATATTTGATTAGTTTTATCCAAAATCGCTTGTCTGTCAGCGTTGACATATAAATAAAATTAGTTAATTTTTTGTTATATTATATTTAATAGTTTTAAACAATTACTTATAATTTTTTTATATATTTTTAAAATATGATCCAACGAGTTCAACTTCACTATCGGATCGGTTTTACCTTGACCAAACCCTTTAATAGTTTGATAGCCGATCCGCTCTTCATGACTCGCTATTTGAATAAATTTAGCCATGACTGACCATAAACATAAAAGCAGATTAAGACGATAAGACTTTGATATAGCTACCTTGAGGACGTCCTAACAATGCCTTAGGCTTCACTCAGCTGCTTTTCACCCTTCACTTCTAGAGAGAGAGAGAGAGCTAAGCTCATGGCCCAGCTCCTCTTGACTTTGGTAGAGGGGACAAAAATGACAAATTAGCCTTGAAGAGAGAGAGAGAGAGAGAGAAAATGACAAATTAAGCTTGAACCCAATACTTTTCTTATTGCTTTTGGCCACAAGATAGAGAAGGGGAGAGAGAAATTCCTTTGCCCAAAAAGATTAACCTACTGGATCAACTAAACCATAACTGACTCCATTTGTTAAAAAGGAAAAGGTCTTCTGTTTTAACTAACTTAAATTGAAAAAGAAAATGGTGCGCTTTGTTTTCAAGTCTTTCCTCTCTCTCTCTCTCTAGACTTGGTCCAATCAACACGGTGGACTGCGGTCGATCTGCAATTCCGTGCGGTCAACTTATTCCCCTTCTCCCCGATATTACTCATTCTGAAAAAAATCAGCACCTCTCCCCTCTCCCTCCGCGTGACTTCCAAGCATTTTCCTCGTGCCCCTCTAAAACAATTTTATAATGTAGCTAGCTCACTTATCAATCGCTTAGATATGTTAAAAATTGGAAATAATTATAATTATAATTAATTAATATGATTAAACTTAGGAGGGTGAGGAACGCATTGTCCACCCATTGAATTTGTTATGGATCAGCAATTCCCGGTTCAAATCGTCGGGGTTTAAAAGCCCCGATAGATCAGTTGTCGTGTGTGGTAGTAGTGGTAAGCAGCTTAGATATATTCTTTTCAACACATTGATCTCCATGTACTTAAATTGAAATAAGTTTATATAGGGTTGCAACCTTTATACTAATGAATTAAGGTGCACCTTAAAACTCCAATTGTTCTGGTTGACCTTGAGATGTATGGATATAAAGAAAAAATTTAAGTCATGAAAATAGTGTATCTTGTAATAAGTTATCAGGACTATTTATTTCAAGATATTTAAGTGTTTATAGATATGTTCGATTTATATAATTTTCAAAATTTTCACTTTCATAGTTAAGTGTGAAATAAATTTTTATGCCGTCATTAAGTTTCCAACATCAAAACAACATCTCGAAGCAAATTCAATCAATATATTTTTTAAATATAATTTGATCCTAATTTTTGGAGAATATATAGTCTTTAACATGGAGATCATGAATATGAGCAAATAAATAAATTTTGAAAACTAAAAATAATAATTATATTAAGAAATTATTTGGATCATTTGTTATAATTGTTTTAAGATGGACCACCTATTTGCATCCATCTTTAACATGGATGCTTTACACCTCTGAACCGCATAGTCTACAAATGCGGTCTAGTACGCATGAAACAATAGTTCATAGGAAATTTGTTTCATGTTGCGGGGACCGCATTTCTACATTTGCGGTCCCATAGGTATAAAGCATCTATCTTAAAGATGGATGCAACTAGGTGGTCCAACTAAAAATAATTGAAACTAACTATCTAAATATTTTCTTCATATAATTATTATTTTTAATTTTCAAAATTTATTTATTCTTTCATATTTATGATCTCTATGTTGGAGATTATATGTCCTTAAAAATAGGTCCAAAAATCCATCTTAAAAATATATTTTTAAGAGATGACTCATATCTACATGGACTCATAGAAACCGTGTCCTTGGGTATAACATGACCTCCGCTAAAATCTATGTCAAAGCTCGAGAGAATGAACATATTTAGTGGTACATAGGTCCCAAAATTTAGGGAACTACACTTACATTCCTTGTCATTATTATTTAAAAATTATCACTCATATTCAGCTTTTTGTGCTCATGCCTAGTGTATTAGAACTATTACTTCCAAAATAATCACTGAAATTCTAGTAAGCAATATGGAACAAATAGTTCTAGACCGCTTTGATATATCCTTCCATTTTTGTAAGATATCGATGAGGTTTCTGAACCAGTTTGATTTTTTAAAATGAGCAGTTTAGATCTTATAGTTCCGTATCCCTTCGATTCTTTGCAATGAGCAATCCAAAACTACTGCTTCCTTCATGACTGGTTTGATTCTTTATAGTGAGTGATTCGGAACTAATACTTCCAAATGGCTTTGATTACGGAACTAATAGTTGGAACGACATTAATTTTTTTACAATGAGCAATTCACA